GAACTCAGCTCTCCAATTAACAATTCTGAGCCATTTTCCATTACACCACCTGCACATCCAAGCTTAAAGCAACTGGCCTTCCCAAGCTGGTACTCGTCTAGGTAGTAACCATGCTTGACGTTATATAACTTGGTGATTGTATGTGAACAGGCATTTTAACATGATGTGGCCGTAAGCCTATAACTAAAGAATGGTGGCCCCTTGGAGTAGCAATTGGCATGCAATGATTCATCTGTGGGGAGAATGGCTATAGATTGGGGAAATAGTCTTCCTTAGCAATTTGGGCTCTATGAAGGCTAGAAAGTGAGGATTGAGCAGCTACAGGCTATTTGCAACTGTCTGCTGGTTGCAACAAAACCTTTTCAACGATATAGCTAATTATAAAAATGGAATGATAAGAAAAATCTGCTCTGAATCATAAAATAAAAAAAAAAAACACAATAAAACTAAGACATTATTTAATTAAAGAACCTTTTAATTGCTTTTATGAAATTACAATGTGACAACCCAGAATATTTTTAAAAAGAATTTTGACTTTTTTTTTTTGTATATGTATAAACATGCCAATTTTTTTCTAGATACAGATGGACATACTTGATATTATCAGAAAACAAGAGTGATAACTATAGAAAATTTAAAGCCAAAACTCTCTAAAAATCAATAAAACATTAGATTATGAAGAATGTTTTAAAAATTTAAGATTACCAATTACTTCAGTCACAATATATTCTTCATTTACATTATATTCAATTATTATTTTTGGGGGTAAAATCGCCATAGAACATTAGATAAAAATCTGTCCGTATAAACAGCTAACAGATTAATTATACTATAAATCAGCTAATATTCCTCAAATAAAATTTCAGTGAAGTATATTTTATTTTTGGAAGATTTACATGTTTATAACAATATAAGTGAAATGTGTTGTCAGTAAAAAAGATTATCCACTGTCTCATTTCTCCACAAGTCTGTATTGTAATTAATACTAATCCAAATCAATGGTCTCCTGTTGGAAAAACTCCTCTTTGATTGTTCATGTCTTCAAGGGTGTAGCCCTACGCACCACACTTGGCCAACTGCGGGTTGGTGAGGCTATTTAACCCAGAGTTGGGATGGATGCCCATTGACTCTAAGGAGTTCATCTGTCCTTTAACAGCTCTTGTGTTTTTGTGCTGCTGGGGTTCTGCTTACCCTTTTCATCAAACTAGGGTCTGCTGGGTAAGCTGGTTTAGCCGTCAATCACTTGGGCATTTAGGTTTTGAATTCAGAGTTCTCTAGCTTCTAGACTGATTACTAAGCAAGGCTATAGGACCCAGTCTGTCCTGATATTGGCACATAGCTTGAAGGAGAAGAAATGGATTCACATCCTTCCCAAGGGTGTTTTTTGATAACTTATAGTAATTCTTCAGTAAAATACCAGTCGGTAGTTTTTATCATTGGTCATTAACCCGGATCTCATTTACTCTGTCTTCTTATTGAGACCTTTCTACAGTTATTTTTTGTGTGTGTATTGTGTAAGTGTCAGATTGTGTAAAAACTACTTTTTTTTTATTTTAGTACTTTGAGTATCGAAAAATAATAAAAGCTTTAAATTAAAACCTTCTTGAATTTTCTGAAAACTACTATTATAAAGTGTTTGCTCGTTTTTAATGTCCTTGGGTAAAGTTTTAAATATGTATCTTCTCTTTATCCAGCTAAGTAGCAGAACTCTGTAGCCTTGGCTGGCAAGTAGACTAAGAGAAGGAAAATTTTCCAAAATTCCAAAACCATGGAGAAAGCAGTGAGAAACCACTCCCCTATCTTTTGCAAGAAGACATGGCAATTCCCAAATAATAAAAAGGAATCTGTGGAGAGCCAGGATCATCTATATCCTGAAAGGACATGGTATTGAAGAAAAAAAAATTGTATATTTTGTATATAATGTATATATATATATATATATACAGTGTAACCCGGATATAAGAGAGTTGTATCAAACGGAGAAGAAGTCTCTTATATCCGTGTTTCTCTATATCTGGGAAAAATCTATTTTTGTATACATTAACACAGGCTCTAATTTGGGACCAGAAAAATCTCTCTTATAAGATATACTGTATATATATATATATATATATATATATATATATATATATATATAATGTATTTCCATACTGGGTGTAACAGTGAAATTGTCCAATTGTTAAATTAAGCCTTGACCTGTTGTATCTTAGAAATGACTAAAGATATCTTACTGGAATTCTCTGAGGTTTTTATAACACTATTGGATGCAACTTTGAACAATAACAGTGTATTTAGCTCTAAGTTAAAATGAAGATCCCTATTGCTGTTGTGACCTCCTGATCCAGTTTTCCTCTCTACTGTTCCCTCTTTTTTAAAACTTATTCACCGTTCTCTTGATGGTTCTAGAATGGCCTTTGAAGATGGAAGCCAGAGTATGAATGTTGATACAATTACTGAAGGTCTGAATGATCTTTTTCCTCTCACCATTGCTCAGTTGGGAAGACATAGTGGGGCTGACACGAAACGATTTTAACCTGTTCTCTTTCTAACTGAATAACTCAAAGGATTTTTCACTGATTCTTACGACAAATGGTCAAGATGGCCATTTTTTATATATTATTTCACCCTAAGCAAAGCAATAATGCCACTAGAATGCTGGGGTTTACAGAGAGTGAAAGAGAATGAAAAGACTTTAGTGAGGAGGAGTGAGGAAAAGACAGTAAAGGAAAGATGGCAACTGATGTTGCATTTAAATGTAGGTGGGAGAGAAGCAAGAAATCAGAAAGGAGTTCCACAGGTGAGAAGTGCGAGAAAAGAAACTGTTAGAATAGAAGTGGTGGTTATTTATTAAAAAAAAAAAAAAAGAACATTTTTTTTATTATTGAAAAAGAAATGATTATTAATGGTATTGAAACTTTTAGTTTAGTTTTTTTTGCAATATGAAATGGTGTAATAATTATAACATTTTACTCCAAGTCTTGCATTGCTTTTTGAGAAGGATTGACTGAATTCAGTTCCACCATCAACACATCATTCCTGGTATTTATGGCTCCGGGGCGGGGGGAGGGGATGTCTCTCTAAAACCTTTTAAAACGTTTACACAGTATTGATTTAAAAATTAAAAAAAAAATAATTAAAAAAAAATAGAAATTATAATTTTGTTGTTGTTGTCTGTTTCCATCACGTGATATTTTATTTGATTTTATTTCCAATTTTTTGACACTACTACACTACTAAACTGCAGAGTCTGTGTTGTTCAAATTATTTCGCCAGTTTGTCAGCCCCCCCCCCATCAAATGTTGATGAGTGAAATAATATTGGGAAATCCGTAACGAAAATCATAAAATGTTTGTCGAAGACCAATTTACATTTCTTCTTAAACTACGCCAAAAAATGAAAGAAAAAAAAAAAAGTCAATTGGATTACTTACAGGTCACGTGACTGGTATCTCAGGAAAAGGGTTTCTCAGATCTTTGGCCTTTCTAGTTAAATTTAAAAAAAGAAAAAAAAGAATTACTGGGATCTTTTTTTTTTTTTTTTTTTTTTAATTTCCGTGTGGGGAAAAATATTTTATTTCTCTTTAGTCTTAAAAAAATAAAGTAAAGAAATAAAATAAAAATAAAAATAAAATAGTCGTGGCTTTTGCAACCCTGAACTCTGAACTTTGTAATCCAATAAATATGCAAAAAAAAAAAAAAAAAAAAAATCTGTATCGGAAAATGAAAAATAACATGGTATTAAACACCCCAGCTTTCACAGTCAAGTTATTTGTTGATTAACTAATTAATTACACTATCCATCTCGATCCTAAATGCAAATAGAGATATGATTCCAATTCTAAGTGTTGGGGTGGTGAGTCTCCTGACTAAACTTAAATTAAAAAAAAAAAAGAAAGAAAAGGCATTCTGGTTAATCTGCAATTTATTTTATATTTTAATGTAGATAAAATAAAAAAAAAAAAAAAACGGTTTGAATATCTATCTTCAAGTTCGTAATTAATGTGGTTGCTACTGGAAGATGAATAAGAAGATGATGGTTTGAGGATGAGTAGGGGAGGAGGGATAACGTTTTTATTATTTGGTTAGTTTTATTATCCTGATCTTGACTGTCTAAAAATGTTGAATGCATTAGTCGAATTCTGCTTCTTTTCATTTTGGTCTTCTTTGTCTATTTTACTGAAGGACTCGTGGAACATACCAACCAAACGTTTTCATTCATTGTCCTGTCATAAGAAGATGCAGTAATTATAATTCATCATCATCATCATTAGTAGTAATGGTAATAAATCGTTTCTTTCTTGCGAACAGTATTCTATTGTACTTACTTTTATTTACTATTGGAAAAAAATGTAAATACTGTTTAAAAAAAAATAATAAAAAGCGGGTCTTGTTTCTTGTCAGAAGGGAAAAGTGGTATGTCCTGTCTTACTGCTGAATGTATTGCTGGTTTTCTTTTATTTCTAATTTAATCTTTTGTTTTTATTTTTAAGGCCCGCTCTAAAATTTATAAATACATAAAAATTAACTACAGAATCCCCTCTCTACACACTCCATAAAAATTAATTTAATTAGCGGAGAGAGTATATGTCTGGGTTTAGTAAGGTAAGGATCAAGTGTCATTTTCGAACAGATGACGAACTAATTACTAAATGAATAAAAAAAAAAAAAAATGAGTGTGATGGCGATGATCAACAATGACAAAGAAGATAGAATATGGAGCGATTTGTTGACTCATGTAACAATTAACGTAGGTCTTCACTGTGTAGGTAAGTTATACTATACAATCAAATATGAAAGGAAAGTAGTAAATCCATTGTTGCTGGTTTTAAACCCAGGCTCCCCATTAGTCTCTCTAAGCGAGACACAGTGTCCCTGGGAATACTTTTTTTTGCTCATTGTTGTCATCATCTCGAGGTTTATTGGATTTTTGATTCTAAATTAGGACCGATTGAAAATTAAAATAGATTACATAAAAATAAAAAAAAATAAAATTCGTCCCAGCTATATCTATCCCGATCTGTTCATCCATATCTCATATCCAGTTTCATGCGTTTTTTTTACATATCTATCTATCTATCTATCTATCTATCTATCTATCTATCTATCTATCTATCTATCTATCTATCTATCTATCCGTTTTAATTTAAACATCTATCTAGCTAAAAACATAAAGAAATACAATGTATGTGTTCTTGGAAAAAAGTCAGTTTTTCTTGTGGATTCGATCTTTGGGGCTCTGAAATTTTTGTTTCTTGTTCCAGATTAAACTTCATTTTTTTGGTAAATCGATTTTTATTTTTAAAATAAACTGAGACCTGTCAAATAATTCCTTCACTCATTCTTTTTTTTACCTGCATATTTTTTTTTTTAAAACAAAAAAAGAAAAAAGAAAAAGTAATGCCTTTTTTTTTAGGTACCAAATACAAGGTTGGATGGGAATTAATAAATTGGTAAGGAGGATTAGACTTTTTTCTCAATATAAACGGAGGTATTCTTTAATTAAAGTACGTGTATAAAACTCATTTAAAAGTAAAAGAAAAATCCGAACTTAATAAACGAGGGTCGTCTTAATTAGCTCATAGTGGGATCGGAAAGAAAAAAAACAAACTCCCCCCCCCACACACACGTCACTTAACAATAATAACAATTAAAATATATATGTGAAAAAAATACATTTCTATCTGACCTTGTCACTATTTAAAAATTAAAAGTAAAATGAAAAATCAAAAATGCCATGATCCGAACAGGATTGCTATTTTTAATCATTTTAAATTAATTAAATTAATGGCAATCAAACATTAAAATTTAATGTTTGATTGCCATTTTTTTTATGTTCTGACTTCTTACAACCTGTTTTTATTTATTATTTTTGCTATTAAATTATATTTTTGTGGTTAATATCTTTTTGTTAAATAAACACCTTTTTATTTTATTTTTGACAACTGTTGACATTGTCGTCGGCCGTTTTTTTTTTTTTTTTTTTTTTTACCAAAATTCAATTCACTGTCCTTGTGCGTGGTACTGGTTCTGTAGTTGTGGATGGAGGTCTCTCTTCTTATTACTCTCTTTTAAACTGTTTTGGCCAAGCATTTCACATAAAAAAAAGAAAAAAATATCTGGAAACAGTGATCAAGATTTCTTGAAAGAAGAAGAAAAAAAATCCAACCCTAAAAATATATTGCTCAACCTGTCAAGAACCTCATTCATTCATTCATTCATTCATTCATTCATTCATTCAGTTTTTGACCATTTTTTTCTCTCGTTTTTCGCGTTGGGTCCAAAACTAGTTCATCTTTGTGTTTTTTGCCTCTTGAATAACTTTAAAACGCAATATGATTTTCACCAGGCAGCAGTTGTGCACACCATTCTTCTTGACCTGCATGCTTTTTATGTTTTTACGGCCATTTTTACTTCCTTAACATTTCTTTTCTTCATCTCTTTCCGATTTCTTACCACTTACTTCCCTTCTCTGTATCTTCCTTTTTACTTCTTTTTCTTTTATCACTCTTGTTACTCTATCTATCTCTCATTTAGTTTTTTCTTTCTTTCTTTCTTTCTTTCTTTCTTATTCCTTCCTCTCACTCACCCCCACACACTGTTATCTTCATCTTTTTCTCTAGCCTCTTTATTTTTACAAACTCCTGCGCTGTCTGCAATTTTCTTTCTTTTTTAGTTTGATTTTTTTCTTTCTTATTGCTCTCTCTCTTTCTTTCTTTCTTTTTCTTTTATCTCTTTTTTTTTACTCTCTCTTTTCATTGTTCTCACTCCTCTCTGTGTTGTATTTCCTTTTCTTTTTTCTTTTTTTTACTGTCACTGTTCTTTTCTCTCATTCTTAATTTCTTCTTTTGACTTCTTTTGTCTATCATCCAGATCTCTTTGGCAACATTTTTCGCAAACATTGACAATCGAAGACTTTCCTTATTCCTCATATTGATATACTACTTCGTTCAGAGAAATTAAATAAGACATTTTCTTGGACCGATATGTGTGTGTGTATACCTCTTTACTTTAATGTCAGTCTCCTATCTATCTATCTATCTATCTTCATTTTTTTTTATCCTTCTATTTATGATAAATAGATAAATAATTTATCTATTTATATCTTTCAATATCTATTTTTATCTATTTATAGATAAATCGATATAAATAATTTATATGATATAAATTATTTATATCGCTTTTAAGTTTTTATCTATAAATAAAAAATAGATATAGAAAGATAAAAATAAATATAAATAAATAAAATAGATATAAATCAATAAAAATATAAATACAAAGATTAAAAAGTTTTTCTCACACTTCTTGATTGTTAAACTCACCTCCAACTCCATGCTTTCCAGCCAACTTTAATCTGTAAATATTTAAATACAATGTCCTGATTTCTCGTTTGTAGTTCTCTAGTTCCTCTTTATAACTCTTCCACACCCAGTAAACCCCTTGTGTCTCAGTGGCTTTACTTCCTTGCTTGGAGTGAACTCGATTAAGTAATATATATATATATATATATATATATATAAAGATATTTTTATGTTTATACGTCCTTTTTATAGAAACAAATATTTAAGTAAATGGGTTTATAATAAACAATATTAAAGACATTGACTGTTCTGAATGTCCAAGAAATTTTCATAGAAAATATGTGTCCTCCGACAGGAATCGAATCTCTATCCTACACGGAACCATCATATATCCTGATGTGCTATACCAATTTAGCTAGAGAAGAGGACACAGAAAGTTTGTTTACATATGCTTCTTATATAGATAAAAAGAGGCTGGTGAAAGAAAATTGAGAGATAAAAAGAGAACAAAAAAAAACTAATAATATTGTATATTAGTAGGCATTTTGACCAAATGGAAGCATGATGAAAAAGATTTAAAAAATCGGGATTTTCAGACAACTGTGTGTCCGTTTTCAACGTGACGAGAAATGAAAAATGAATCGAGACTTTATTTTCCTGCAAATTTTTTTCTTCTTCTTACATGTGTTATATTACTGAAAAGATCTGATAGTTTTGGGCTACTAGTTTGTTGGTTAGTACCTAGATTGGTAACTGCTTGTTAATACCAGGCACTGTAAGCTTAGATGTGTGGGTGGTGTAATGTATAATGTTAATCGACGATGTGAGTTCCAATTTCCGTAGGGCTCATTGTATTCACTCATGCACAAATACCCTTGGGAAAGGTATGAATCTGCCTTTTCTCACCCCAGATATGGGTTAATTAGTAAGACTTGTCACTAAACCATTATTATCTCAAAAAAAAGTTCTTACACTCTAAAAATCTTCTTTGGCTTTAAATAGTCTGCAAAAGATTGATAAACCATAGAAAACGAATCAGTCAATCAAACCTTCTCCGAGGCTGTCTGCGAATCAAAGGCTAAGGCATCTGCTCTATCCTGCTATTTAACCCATAGCTGGTGGGAGAAGAGATGACTTTCCCAAGAGCATGTGGGCGAAAATGAACATAACTGACCAAGCTGGAATTTGAACTTGGCTACTGGATCTTGTTTTTTGCATCAATTACTGTTAAACTAACACATCATTTACTCCTCGTTTAGCTTACATTATTGAGTAAAAAAGACTGTTCTTTTTTTGGCACTCACAATTTACATTCCTCATAAGGATAAAGCCAAAACAGAATAGTAACAATATTCTTCCTTCATCTTTCGTTCCCTACTTCCATCTAACCTCTAAGTTACACCTGTGCATTGTTAATAATCCATTTTTTAATCTGTGGAGGTAGGGATGCAGATCTGCTCACCTTGCTACCTACAGAATAATTCTCAAGAACCTCCTTTTACTATTTACTCTGGGTTCTATAAATGTTGTCTTAATAGTATATTAGTGTCGTATACACTTTCTCTTTCTCCTCCTTCTCCTCCTTTTTTTCCACCCCTCCTTATTAGTGGGTGGGAGGGATAAAATAACAGCAGAAGAAGAAGGCAACCTCCCCCAGGATGATCTATTGGCAGTGACTTTCAGGAGTTCCGGCATTGTCATGCCTATCCACTCTTTGATGTTGTCTAAATAGCAATTCGGTTGCTGTCCTCGCTTGCATCCACCTTCAACATTTCCTGGCATGATGGTCTTGCAGAGGCTGTGATGCCACGTGACATGGCTAAACCATGACATTTTCCAATGTTTGATAATGGTGAGGAAATATTCCTGTCGGCCCACAAGACTTTTGATCTTGCTCTGTACATAGTCATTGGTTAGTCTTCAAAAATTTAAATGCAATGTCAATCGCTATCAACTGTCCTCCCTATTACTCTTCTTCTGTAGTCACTCCTTAGTAATGTTTCTGTTTTCTAATTCTTCCACAATGAATAATCCCTTGTGTCTTAGTGGCTTTACTTGGGGTGAACTTGATTTAAAAAAAAGGAAAAGAATAAAGTCTATTGGAACGCGATCTCTCCCCCAGATTCCAAATAGAACTCATATATCTGATCTCTAGCTAAAGATGCTGGAAAAATGGTTGGTTCATTGTACTGCTCCAGAATCTGTCAAATGCTATACTCCATCTTTACAAGAGGAAGATCAGATCAAACATGGAGTATTTCTACCATATTTCCAACTTGCAACCTTTTTCTCAAAGATGAAACATTGTGAGCTTCTCACTGCTCTATCACTATTTCTGTGGCGTGTGTTCTGATGAGTTATTTACCTTAGTCCCACCAGCCATGACCTTTTATAGCTGGGGCACACCATGCTACATACACAAGAGGGAATCATCACCATTCCCTAGTATTCTATGAGTAAAAAGTAAGTTCGATTTGTACTGCTTCTTCCCAAGAACTTTTGCTTTGGGGAACAGACTCCCAATGTTTTCCTAATCACTTCACTCTTGACCTCTTCAAGTCTAAGGTTAACCATTACCTTTCCTGCATAACTCCCATGAAATTACCTTCTGTTTCTCCTAGGCTGGCTAGCATATATTGTTTATTAAGTCAGTGTAGGTTTCAGTTTGAGAAGCAAAATTGTCTTTATAACTAACAATGAAAGACTTTCATGCCACCAATTCAAGTTGTTACTAATATACTATAAATATAAGATTTACCTTGAATATAAATATACTATATTCATATCTTAAAATAAAACTTTATGGCCTGGGAAAATTTCAAGTACAGATTTGGAATCAGTGTACTTGATTCAGTCTAGAATAACATCAGCTGTCTGGGTAGCAGACACAGTTTTTTAGTTATCTGTATAACTCATATGAAAAGGTATTTCCAATCATTGCTGGAGAGTTCAAATTTTTCTTTCATAAGATTTCTCAAACCTTCAAGCCAGTTGATGAAAATAAATGTACTTTTTAATAAGTAACTGGAGCATCTACTTGAATACAAGTATCTACTAAAAATAGTGTTTAAAGTGATAAAAATCTGTCAGATTAATAAAAAATCTATTTGAAAATTCTCTTTGTTTCCATTTGGATACGAAACTGTGCAGATATGAAAAATTTCTGGAGATCCATGTCAAGAGAAATTTTTCATAATGGTACAAATTTGGCCTTGCCTGAACCAACTAGTTCTCCATAGCTTAGTCAGTTAAAGAATGCCGGGATTAACAGTAGCTCCCTCTGCCTTGAGGACACTGTTCATATCCTGCTGGAGAGGAAAAATATTATTAAGGAACAAAAACAATAAAAGAATAGAAATCAAGAAGACAGAAGATAAAGATTAACATTGCATTTAAACTTTTGAAGATAAAAGTTGGCTGGAAAGCAAGAAGCCGGAAAAGATTTCTACAAATGAGAAGTGCGAGGGAAGAAACTGTAAGCATAGAACTCACGGTTACATCGAACTAATTCAAATGTAAAATGATGAGATCTTGCCGTCAATTTAATAGTGCGCTTAAATACATAAAGTCTAGGTACCATAGCGGAGAGTTCAAGAGTTACCATGAAAGTTTTTTTATAGAAAAGACAGAGGGAAACTCAAAATTATTGCATTTTGTGAGTCATGAGAAACTTTTTCAGATCTTCTGTGGTTTATATAATATTGTACATTAATAAAGTCTTGCCTTGTTCTTGAAACAATTTTTTATTCCTCTTCAATACCAAAGATAAAAGCCAGAATTTAAAATGTTGTTTTTCAAAGACAAGCAAGTTTTCTCTGTATTGCATCAATCTTATAAACAATCTTCCTATTCCGTATACCAGTGGTACCTAAATGGTATGGCATGCCTCATAGGTGTGCCAGTATTGGATAACAGGTGAGGCAGAAAGGAAATCAAATATTTAGACACAGTTTCAAAAAAGTCATATGCCAAAAATAAATATGATTTCAAAATTTAAAATATTATAATGGATTACTCGTAATTGCATACATGAGTCCCAGTATAAATAGTTATAAATCATTATTGATTGATTTTATCATTGTGATATTTTTTGCATTACATCAAGAATATAGTAATTAGGCTCTGCAAATTGGAGGAGAGAGTTATCAATGATAATATTCTGACTTTGAATCTGTAGTTATCTCCCTTTAACCCTCTTTCTCTTTTTCTATTTTTAAATGTACTTTTTATCACATAAAATTTGGTGAGATGTGAGCAAATTTTCATTCTGAAAATGCAGCCCAGAGAAAAAAAAACCTGGGAATCACTGCCCTATACAAAACTAAGCTTATGATTGAGGTTTACTAAAACAATTTTCATTTTTTTAACCCAATGA